AGGGAGACAGTTATCATTGTGTAGGTGTAGGGAGACTGTTATCATTGTGTAGGTGTAGGGAGACTGTTATCATTGTGTAGGTGTAGGGGGACTGTTTTAATTTTGTATGTAAAGCAGTAATGTTATCATTGTGGCATTTATAATGGTGAATGTTAGGGGGTATAAAATGTGAATTATTATTCGGTCATAGCCAGTGTTTATTTTTCAAGGAAGTGTTTTTTGAAGACAATTGATATACCCACATTATTGTTTCTTTTAGTAAATATATATACCCCATGTGGTATTAGTAGCTGTGATGATATTTTCAAATCACATTGATAACTAAGAACATATTTATCTGCTAATAATTTGAAATTTAAGTATAGACTGAATGTAAAATCTTTTTAATGCACACATGTAAATCAAATAGGACAGAGATTTAAACCAAACATGGATTGTTTAAAAGGAGGAACCACTTGAATCAGCACAGTATATATTTTCTTGCTTTGAACCTTTCAAGTATTGCCTTATACTAATATATATATATATATATTTAACAAATACCTTAGCTTCTTGAGCTGTAGAAAAAAAATGGTGATCACGAAAACTTCCATCAAAACTACCACTGAACAATCAGTCACTGGCTACACTGTTTCCACAGGTCCAGAGGCTAAATACCTAATATGTTTGGAATTTCTTCATTACAGTGAAAATTAACCGCTATTAAATTCATCAGAATTGTTTTTGGATGTGGTGAAAAGAGTAAACATTGTACATATACTTTACTTCACTAGCTGAATGATAATTCCTAGTCACATATCTTTTAATAATTTGTATGCCCCCGCCATAAAATGGGGGGGCATATAGTGTTGCCCATGTCCGTCGCGTCCCGTCCCGATTCAATGTAAACACTTAGCAACTTCATTCTTTGACAGATTTTGGTCAAACTTTATACAAAGGTCAAGTATGAGTATATTTCGGACATCATTGTATTTCAGGGATCCAAGGTCAAGGCCAAGGTCACACTTGCTATATATAGAAAATCATCAACTAATTCAATTTAAACACTTGGCAACTTCATTCTTTGACAGATTTTGGTCAAACTTTATGCAAAGGTCAAGTATGAGTATACTGCGGACATTGTTGTGTTTCAGGGTTCCAAGGTCAAGGCCAAGGTCACTGTTGCTATATATAGAAAACCATCAACTGATTCAATTTAAACACTTAGCAACTTCATTTTGCATTCAATTTGTTATGGAGATGGTAATAACATACAGAAAAAACATGTATATTAAAATCAACTGATCAACTTTAAGTGCAGTACCTTGTGTGTGTGCATATTTCAGGGTATCAAGTAAGGACTAAGTAACTAAAAACAAGTGTGTATCACTCGTAACTTTACAGCATTTGTTGGTTTCAGAAATAAAGATTACATCAGTTATAAAACATCACAAAAATACAATTTTGTAGTAAATGTAATTTATTTTCTCACTAATCTATTCATTGACAAATAAACTGATACTAAAAAATTATATCAAGCCGTTAGCTCACATGCTTATTGCCTTAAATCTAGCATATAGAAATCAATATGGAAACATACAAACAAATTTAAGGGTGTATACTAACCTGTAATTTGTGCTTGAGTTATCCCCATTAAACATAGTTTCATCTGCTTTGTATATGATAGATTTAACATTCTGATTTAAACCATGCCTTTTCTGTGAGAGAATTCCTGAGAGAATTTTGAGGTGTCACACTAATTAGTAAAAACCGGCTCTTATGTATTTCTTTTGAGAAAAAAATCATGTTACTTTTATTACATAATGTACTGTGTTATCCAATGAATATACCCATGTCATATTTTTTGCGTATTAACCCATGTAATATCACTAATATGACCTATCAGCCCAGTGATTGGTTGTAAGTTACAATTGTTTCAATTGTGACGTCACGCCCAGGACAAGTATATGACATCAGACTTACGTCATGGAGTCAAAATGGCAGCTTTCTACATTTCAAGGTTGCATAAAATTTGTTGCTTTACGAAAATAAATGCCTCAAATCTTGATTAGGTGATAAAAAAAGGATGTTACACTCGTTTTCATTTTATCTCACTTATTTTATTTTCGAAAAAATAATAGTTTTAGAACACCTGTGTATTTCAAAAGGAAAACGATAGCACTATTTTGTGAGAAAATTTGGACAGATTATATTAATGACAAGATTCTAGATTGAAGCTCGAATTGTTGACGACTTGCATACACATTTGATTCCTCTCTGTATCAGGTCATTGCACTGCTGTCTCGATCCAAAAGACCCCAGAGCCAACTATACAACATTCCAGGAACAAGATGAACCAGACAACACGGAACAAACAGAGCAGATACAAAATACATCACAGGGAATGCTGCATTAATTATCATCTCACCATGTGTCGTCTCCGCCAGTATTTTCAGCTCACCTGGGACGAAATTCCTTCCGAGATCATGGTATGGTGTATTGTTCGTCTGTCAGCTTTCTAAATGAATGACTTTTTGTAGAACTGGAAATCCTAGGGTCATATTTGGTCATTAGGTACCTGGATGGGGTGCTATGATGTTTCCTGAAATAAATGACCTTGATCTACTTTTAATGCCACATGGCTCCAATATGTTAAAACATTTCAACGTCTGTCAGCTTTCTAAATGAATGACTTTTTCTAAAGAACTGGAAATCCTAGGATCATATTTGGTCATTAGGTACCTGGATGGGGTGCTATGATGTTTCCTGAAATAAATGAC